TGTATTTTTATATAGAAACAACATAGACAAAATCTGAAAGTTCTGGCTTTGTGACTTCATTGAGCTTATTCATGCTCTTCTAACCGTATAAAAACAATTAGTTTATGAGGATGTAGCCTCAAGATGCAGATTTTTTTTTCTCAGTCCACCCTAGAAATAACTTAGTGTTTTCTGTAGCGGTTCCTGTAACTGTTCCTCTTTTCCACTAATGCTTTCCTGTTTTCCCAACATACTTCTGGAAGAGCATTAAATTATCTGGATTCTTTTCGATGAGGATTCAGATCTGGATATGCAATGAAAATAGTATTGGTCATACTTCTGGGTGACCTCTAGCCATGGGCAAGATGCGGGTAAATGACCCTACTTCATCTCTTTGGTACTATTCACTATGATATCCTTCTGGATCAGCACAGAGGGCTAGCAGTGGAAGGCAAGCTTTCGTTCACTTCCATCCTTCAGGATTGTTTTCTGACAGTAATGGTTGGGAAGGAGAGGATCTATCCTCATTTACAGGTTTTGGTGCTTTCTCATGAAATTATGATTCATGGCTATGTTTATTAGAAAGAAAATAAATAATAGGAAAAAATAATTTTGTAGCTATAGTTACATTTGCTACAAAACTAAGGCAATTTTGTGATTATATTTGCTTCAAAGGAAATTGGAAACTATTTTCTGTTTCTCTTTATTCTTTCTTTTTGCACTTTTTGTCTTATTTTCTCTTTTCCTTTCTTTTAGTTCTGCTAGGTTTTATTTTTTCAAAACCCTTAAGGCAAATATTAAATTTTATATTTTAAAAAAATAAAATATTTGAAGGACCAGGTTATGGATAATTTCTCTCATCATGGAGAGAATTTATCTATGTGGTTGCTAATAGTTTGACACTGAATTGATTGCAGATAATAATCAGACCAACAAAAACCAGAACAGCCTACTGATTTGGATTCATCCACCCAAAGAACTGGAGGAGGGAGCATTCCTGAAGCCATGAGAAAAGCCCTTTATACAGACTTTTTATTTATAATATATAACTCTACATATAATATACCAACTGAAAGCATATATTTAAAATATCTGCTGATGATTTCAGGCTAAACTGGTTGGAGGGCACCATGCAATTCTTTATTTTTAATTGCTACTTTAAGATTTTTTTGGAGGGGTTCGGGGAGAATTAATGTCCTTACTCTTATGGCTCTGTGAAAGAGAATTGATACCCTCAGACTATATTTTGGATTGTCCTTCATTGTATAATCTCTGCTAAGTGTCCCCTTACTTTTTATGAAAGGCTTTAAAAGGTGTTTAAATGTCTGCTTCTTAATTAAGAAAGCAAGGTGAGAATGAAAGCAGAAGAAACAGCTGGCAAGGATCTTCTGGTATACTCATAAAGCTGCTCTTCACTTGTCTTGACCTTGCTGAGGAAGTGATGGTTGTGTTGATAGATTCCCATGAAACATTTCGGAGCTGAGGAAGTGGCCTCGGAGGTCCAGTCAACAGCTGCTGAAAGTTTTATCAATATGGCCTGCAGCTTTTAAAAAATGGGAAGAAGTGAAACCACCAGAGAACAATCATTATTAGTTGCTATGTGGAGTCAAACAAACAAATGCCTGGCTCCTTATAATAGGGAGCTTGGAATACTCTGCACTGACCCTTCTATCTATTAAGGGCAACTGTCTGCCTGACTTGATGACCCGAATGCAGGATTTTAATAGCAAATATCTCAGTGATCAAATTAGACCAATTATTTTGTTTGAGTCTCCAACCCAAGTGGGGGGAAACCAATTATTTATGCAACTTTGGCAATCTTTCAAATGCTGCCCATTATTTTCTACATATTTTATGCATCATCTCTCTGCAGACAAAAGAGTGTGTGGGGGGGAAACCCACAGAAAATAAAAACAGGCTTCTGATTTTTACGCTGCAATTAAATTATGAACCAGAAATTACCAAGATGAGACACAGGTCCAGGAAGAGACTTCACAATTTTCATTATGAAGTCTGCGTATACAACAAGGACTCAAATATACACCAATCGCATTTTAGACTGAAATGCCTTACATGATCCCAGCTCATGTGATTTGCGGTTGAATAAAACCAAAATTAATAATGGTGTTACAAAAAGTAAATTTTTGGGGAGAAGCAGATGGGTAGAACAACCAAAGCTTGACCATAGAGAGTAATGTGTATATATGTAAGAAGGTGGTGAAATAAGGATGCCAATTTTGACATTAGACAAGAACCAGAGATAAGAATGTTACCTGCCAATGTTACCTGCAAGACACACTTGACGTAACAACCTAATGTTCAATAAAAGGACAGTTTTTGTGATGATGAACTAAAGTTGTCAAAGAATGTAAAGGAAGATGGAATGGGTCAAAAATTCCTGATACATGTACACCACTATGTATACAGGGCGCTCTTGTTTTTCCCCAGTCCCTGTACATCACTTAATCAGAGCACAGTGAGGCAAGTGAATACAAATGTTTGAGTAATGCTTATGCAATTGTAAGCTTTTGTAGGTTTATAAAAACAAGGAATAGGGGATGCTATGGCTTCTATACATATCCCTGGATTCTAGAAGAACTTTGCAATTTATTGGAGAACAACCAGAGCTATGGGAGGTAGTCCATACCTCCATTCTCATTGTTCCTGCATAAGAACATAAACAGCACCCTGCTGGATAGTCCAGCAGTCTGTTCTCATAGTGCCCAACAAACTGCATAGGAAGTCCACTAATTTTCTAGTCACCCTGCATCAAGGCTAATAGCCATAGATCCCCAAGAATTGATCCAAATCTCTTTTGAAACCAGCAATCACATCTAATGGTGATGAATTCCAAAAATTATGCAAGATATAAACTCATGTATGTGTGTGTGTGTGTGTGTCTGTATACCACAGTCATGTCTCTTCTAATTGACTTCATTTCTAAACATGTTGCAAGAAGAGAGTGTTCCCACAACCTTGGAAGACGTGAATATATCTACCGTATTTGCCGGCGTATAAGACGACTTTTTTGCCCCGAAAAACATGCCTCCAAGTGGGGGGGTCGTCTTATACGCCGGTATATCCACTGCCGGCTTTCGGATGCTTGTTGGACGCAGCGAAGGCGCCTCTGGCTTCCTGGATCCCCTGCGTCGCTTCCGCTTCATCCCGCTCGCCTCGCTCCGCCCGAGGCTGCAGCCTTACTGCTCTTCCCACGGCCCCTGGCACTCTGCCCTGCCGCTGCAGTCCCGGGGATTTCTGGAGGGCGTTTCCGGTGGTGGTGGGGGGTCGTCTTATACGCCGGGTCGTCTTATACGCCGGCAAATACGGTACATGGATGACAGCTAATTGCTGCCTTGAATTCTTAGATTATATGTAAGAAGGTCTATTGACAGGAATCCAGTTGAACTTCACCCATTATATTTCTATACCTTTGTCCCATGACATCATATAACAAGCCAAAGGGAATAATGCTTGGGGGTGGGGGGAATCAACAAAGATCCCAAAAGCAGGTAGATTCTACTTTGAAAATGATAAAATTGTGGCTCTAAAACCAAACAAAATTATTAAGAAAAATTCTTATTTTTATTATGGTGTGCAACTTCAACATGGCAGATAAAACATTAATGCTTGAAGGTTGTCTAGATTAGGAAACAGATGCCACCACCACATTAAAACTAAGCTTCTGAGAGAGGCTATATTAACAGTATTCTAGATGTCTGCTTGTGTTTTACCTTTCCTTCCTCTTATACTGCATTGAGTCAGGTAGGATCCAACCTGAGTCTTTTCCTGATATTATCTCCTTTCCCGGGGCTGAAAGGGTGTTTCTGCCCTTTTTGTTTCTGTAACCTGATGTTGCAGCACTTGTCAAAAAAGCCAACAGAGATTATACTACCTGAGACTTCTCAAGAAACAACAACTGAATGAAAAACTGCTGGTGACCTTCTACCACTGCACCATAGAGAATATCTTAACTTACTGCATCTCTGTATGTTTTGCCAATTTCACAGTGGCAGATAAGACAGTGCTCCAGAGGGTTAATGTCATTGCCCAGAAGATCATTGGTTGCCCTCTTCCCTCTTTGGAAGAGCTTTATAGCTCCCGCTGCCTTAAGAAAGTTCAAAACATTCTTAAAGATCCATCTCATCCTGGGCAGCCTTTTTTTGAACTATTACCATCTGGCAGACGGTACAGAATAATAAAAACAAGCACAAATAGGCTGAAAAACAGCTTCTATTCCAGGGCAGTAGCTCTTTTTAATTCTACTGTATAGTACAATATTAATGCAATATCAGGGGTTTTCAGTTCAATTGTATAGAACAGTGATGGCTAACCTTTTAGTCGTTGCATGCCGAAGGTACGCACATGCACACGTGTGCCTGCACCCATAATGCAATGTGACCTGTCCCCCTGCGCATGCGTGTGCAGCCCCCCATGCTCCCCCACCCCCTGTGCACGTCTCCCGCCTGTGCCCCATCCCTTGCGCATGCATGGCAGATACCCAAAAATCAGCTGGCTGGTGGGAGGCGCGCATGTGCAGTGGAACTGAGCTGGGGCAATGACTCGTGTGCTGGCAGAGATGGCTCTGCATGCCACTTCTGGCATGTGTGCCATAGGTTCGCCATCACGGGTATATAATGTAAATGATGTGTGTTTGTGTTTGACTATTTTTATAGTTATAATGTACACTGAAGATGGAATTTAATTTTGTTGTATGAGGTGCAATGACAATAAAGTAAAGTAAGGTAAACAGCCTCTGATTAGGCCCATCAAGGTTATCTCTATGGCTCTCTACAGTTAATGTCAATAAAGATGGCAACACTCACTTTGTAGGGAGTTTTCCCAAACATGAATGTGCTTATTATCAGAATAAGCTTCAAGCTGTAGGTGAAAGATCATAGTAGAACGTTACTACTACAGAACATTCTTCTCTTCTTGAATTCTCAGGTATCACTTGGCTAGAATGCAGAGGACTAAGCAAGTAGAAGCATGCATTTCATATGAGAATATTGCTTAAGCAATTCTAATTAATAAAATGCTTGAAGATTCTCTGTGTTCTGGGTTCCCTTGAGTATTTTTATGCTGCATAAGCTCCTGAAGTTCAAATCTGTAACAATGGATAAGTGTAATGTGCATTTATAGCCAAATGCTCTTAGAATAATATTGCGTATGTCCAACAAGGGAGATTACAGATTGGATAAATGAATGCCTTGGATAAATGTATGAAGCATCCTTCATAGGCAGCATCCTATGCTCATTTTGCCTGGGCTCATACATCATGACAAGCCATTGCTTGTTTTAATAATATTATAATGAATAAGCCACAAATGGCTGAATTCAGACATCATGCTAAGTCAAAGTACACAGATGATTAATTGAAGAACAATTTTTCCATTTGGGGCTTCAGGTATTTCCTAGGTAGGTTTTTAATCTCAGGAATTCATAGTTTTGTAAATTCATTGTTTGAAAATATGTTATTATTAGCTGCCCAGATTTTGTGGAAGCTGGTTGCATACAAATCTTTTAAATCAATACTCTCAATGCCACTACACCTGAACATTTGCATTTCATTTTCGTATTATTCAGTCGAGCCAGTATGCTCGGACAATGGATCACAGAAGTTATGAGATGAGCCAAGAATCCATTCCTATGACAACAAAGACCACTTCCTGATGCATAAAACAATTTTCTCAGGTGCCATTTACAATATTGCCCTAAACATGACTTCTCTTCCATGCCATTCGTAGAGAAATAGGATTGACTCTGAGAATTTAGAATTTGCCAGAGCAGGAATTATAGCTATATTAGACAGCAACTGACACTTAGCACCAAGTCTGAGAGAGACACAAAACAAAGGGGAGTTTATCAGGTTATAGGAACAGTAGGAAAAAGAAAAGCCAGATTTTTAGAAATCATTGAAAACTCATACTGACAGTAAGCAATTAGCTGCTTAAAATGGCTTCCTTATCTGGCTTATTTAACTTTGCTGTGTTGACTCTCTGGATAACTTTTTCCAATTTGTACAGGGGCTTGAAACTTGGGTTACAATTCCATCTGATCTTCAGGGATTGGAGGACTCATCTCATCGTATCATTTGAGCTGTATGTTCAAAAGAAAGTCCTTTTAATAAAGTTGTTCTTGATTTGGCACAGATAAAACAGGAAGAACCTGTTCTGCTTTAAAAATGGAACATATAGCTTATTTCACTTCATTAATCTTGATTGATTTGGCATTATAGCTTCATAAAGTTGTCATACAATAAACTCATCTATTGTTAAAAAAAGTTTGACTAAAACATTTGTAAATGGCTGCAAACCAAGGACTAGCAATCTCTTAATTTAATGTATTTTTTTCTTGATGTACTGGTATATTTTGAATCTACTCTTGAATCTGAGAAATGAATCTGTTACAACATTAGGTATCCTTTGCTAATCCAATTTAAATATTACCCAAGCAATTATGCAAACAACATCACTCTTGCCTATCTTATAGACAAAGGTGAATGAGCACAAAGTTCCTACAAAGATATTTGATCTGTGAATAACTATAGTGTAGCTGGAATGCCTGAGAATAAAATGGTTACCAAAACTTAATAGAACACTAATGGTTAATTGCTAGTGAGCTCTATCTTGGAACCTCAGATTAGGCTAACAGTCTTGATGGCTCCCTGGCTTTTGGACTTGGATAGGCTTTGCTTCTTTGACGAAATTTTTATTATTTCATTTCTACCTATGACAGCCTTCTCAGATAAGCCAGGCAGGAAAGACGACAAGATGAGCCATATCTAATTTATTGTAAAGCTGCATTAACAGAATTTTGCAAGTTTGAAAGTTCAAATGTCCCACCTGCCACATTTAATTGCCGGACCCATTAGGCCGGACCTTCCTAAGTTTCGTTCTTTGACTGTTAAACCAATTGCAATTACAACCTCCTGCCTCTCTTGTCTGATTGTTTCCCAGACAGCATCTCCTCTCTCCTTTCCTCAAAGTTATCTGTGCATTCCATCACATCCTCTTTCGAATCATGCTTTCAACTTCACTCAAGGTTCTGCTTAAATTATAGCCTTCAAAATTGCATGACCCATTACTTCCTTTCTTCCCAATTCTTTACAAATGTCCTCACTTTACTGGTCAGTTTTAACCAGAATATTTTACGATTTCTTGATATGCCTAATTACAACATCTCCTTCAACTGAGAATAAGTATTTCAAATTCTACTTGGGATGAATGCCTACAGATTAAAACAGCTTCAAGAATATAGCTCTTCCGTTTCAAACACCAGAGCAAAAAACTTGAGCGGAGCTGATATTCTGTCCATGACAGAGTACCTCTGTAATGGAGGATCAGAAAGAAATTATGAAGAACAGAACATTTAAGGGGTCTACCAATCAAAACTATTATTGTCAGAATATCAAAGGCAGCCAAACATTAGCTAATATAAATCAGAGTAGAATCAAATTACTAAAAGCATGTTACTGATATACAGCATCTGGTCATCAAAATTATTTTTTCCCCAAATAATCTATCTGAAATAAATATTTTCATTACTTAAAGAAGTCTGTTATTGAAAAATTGTACCATAACTTTGCATATTCAATTATGGTACAATTTTTCAATAACAGACTTCAATAACTAACAAACAGAGCTTTACGCAGATGGAAATATGTT